GTCTAAGTCAATGTCATTCAGGAAAAGCCGGACTGATCAGGTGAGCAGTTTTCTTGTCTTAACTATAGGGTATCTCCCAACTTCAGGAGTCGTAAGCAACATTTTGGGGCAGTAATTTCTTAAAACTTTAGTTAGATCGATAAGCATGCAGTTTTTCTTTTTATGATAAACAGGCTAATGATGAGTGACAATGACACCACAGCTCCGCAAATGAAGAGAAGGAGTCAGCAGAGCCAATCCAAGTCAAATTTTCTGAGTACCTTAATTATCAGAACATTTATCTGCATCTACCTGAAAATACAGAAATATTTCAATGGAAATTATAGAATAATAGAATGCGTTGAGTTGGAAAGGACCTTTAACGGTCATCTAGGCCAACCCCCTGCAGTGAGCAGGGACATATTTAACTAGATCAGGTTGCTCAGAGCCACGTCAAGCCTGAGCTTGAATGTCTCCAGCGATGGAGGCTCCAGCACCTCTCTGGACAACCTGTTCCAGTGTTTTGCCACCCTCAGGGTATAAAATTTCTTCCTTGTATTCAGGAATAAATATATCCTCTTCTAGAAATCATCACTTCTAAATTATTATGGCTTATGCTTTTCTCTTTTATGTCCAGGTGAATGATTTTGTGCTTGAAAACAGCATCTTGTGTGCATAAGAGCATCTATCTTTACAAGAGTACATAAGGAAGACTACGGGAAAAATTTCTAGGAATATAGTGGCCTTGCTAACTGCCAGTTTGAAGTTTGGAGTGAGAATCTTTAGGAATTTTATTACCATTTTTCAACACAGACATATATTATTTATTCACATTACTAGGCAATCCACTGTTCAGAAATAATATGTTGTGACCTTCCCTCCCTAATAATAAGTGTAACAACCAAGCCATTCTATCTGATTTCATGTTTTGTTCATATGTATCCACAAATGAGACCATTTGATGTTCAGAAATAAATTCCCACAAATGAATTTTAGCTTATTACAGTCTGAAAGAACACTTTCTAAATTACAGTTCAAAACATGGCCACTTTCTTTTAAAATGCCTAAGTCATCTTAAATATGTTGATCCCTAGACACAAATTATCTTTTACATGATCTTCTCTGCACTTGCAAAGATACGAAATTATAATAATAATGAGAAAAAACAGGAGATAAAAAAGAAAAAAACACTTTTCATTTAGAGCAATCTAATAAAATCCATGGCATTTAATACTCACTTACCTGATTCCAACAAATTTTAACATATTTTTAATACAATATTATGCATATTTGAATGACTGTGTAAGTACTGAATGATGGTATGAATTTCTGCTGAGTTTGTACCATATTTTTAAATCTTTATATATTAAACATCTGAGACTCAAGGACTTCATATGATTTAAGGCAATTTTGGAAAGATCTTGAGTCATTTACATTTGTGATAGATGTTAATGGGACAAGAAGTCTCTTTAATCTACAGTACCATGCAACACAAATTACAGCTTTAGGGCTTCTAAACATGCTGCTTCTAAAAGCTAAAATTGTTGGTAAAATAGTTTGTTAAATAATATTTAAGATGAGAGAGAGAAGCATGTGAGAAATTACCTTAGTAACCGTAATCAATTTTCTCTCTTGAAAGTGCAAGCTATAATGTCTTCACATGAGTGTGTGTGTGGAGAGTGGGGGAAGGGGTAGGTATGTTGTCTTTTTTCCACAGGTAGGCAATAAAGTACGTTGCAGAAAATCACTTTAAATTACTGTTGCCAGGGTGTTTGTAAGGAGTACAGTTTTACACCTATAATTAGTATCCAGGGTTCTCCGTCTTCCACTAGAAACTGCATGATCCACAAATAGAAAACTAAAATTGAAAGTTAAAGGTTACTTATTTTTGTAGCTCTTCCCTCTTTAGCTGTTCCTGGCCATCTTAGGAGACAAAATACTCAGACATCTTTGACCTTATTTAGCAAATAATGTATTATCTTTACCTTGAAAACCTGTAAATATTTTCCCTGAACCATCTCACTGATCTCAACTCCTGTTGAAGACATCCTATTCGCACAGTACTGTGAGTGGGGCTGAGCATTTAGCAATAAAGTATTGATAGCTTTTCCAGTAATGTTACTTTCTTCAATTAGGGTATTCAACAACAATTTTTAAAGTGAAAAAAAAAAGAGAAAAGAAGACAATTATTTGAAAACTAGAATGAAACAGTTGCAGAAAGAAAAGCACTGCAGTGGAACGAATAGATTCTCCCGGGTTTTCTCTCCAAAAGAGAGAAAACTTTACAAATATTATTGAAAAGTAACCAAGATCCATTATGATTCTTAAAAATATTGAAACTTTAGCTGCCCAGACATACCTGTATACAAATGAAGGACCCAGCTACTGTCTATACAAATTAAGGGGCATAAACTTTGGAGTAAAAAAATAAAGCTGGTAATATCACTATATCACTCACGAGCTGAAATACTTTCTAAGACTTTTTAATGTGTTTATTTAAATACACTAATGTTAAAAAGTTTTTATCTCCACCTCTTGATGATTTTAAGATACCAAAACCAGTCAAAAATTCTAAAACTAAACCAATTTTTTACTGTCATTGGATAGAGGAAGCAAAAGATTTATATACAGATTTAGTTAATGTTAAGGGAGGTTTGCACACATCAGAGAAGAAAAGAGATCTGAAAGTACACTCAAATATTACATCATGCAAGTTATCAAAGCACTAGCATATATAGGAGACATCAAGTGGAAAATAATTTTAACTTAATTTTAGAAGCCTTAATTATGTTCCCTCTCCAACCTCATCCCCAAAGACTTTGCAAAATGGCTTATTATTATCTCCTGTTTATGTTTTACACAACTTTAAAGGCTAAAGCAGTTAAACCTCTAGCTAGATGTGCTCCTTTCTCATAATTTAATTCAGATCAACACTCTTACTTATAAGCACACCACATCAGGACAACACTTCCATATGTATTTTTATCATGCTTATGCATATGCTGACTCACAAACTGAATAAGCCTAGAAGATTTTTTTTTTAGCCACTCGATTTTTTCAAACTCTTCTGCTTAAAGGAAACCCTTAACCTCTACCCTACTATGTCCATTGAATTGATGAGCAGACAACATCTCTCCCTTTTATTGTCCTGTCTTTGCTCACTTTGATAGCACAGCTAAAAACAGACCTTGTCAAGTCCAAATGGGGGTTACACAAGCTCTGCTCGCAAAAGGAATATTATTCTGTGTTCTGAGAATTCCATGTAAAATCAAAGTATATAGACTCTTTTTTTCTCCAGTCCATGATTAGAATTGTGTTACCTCAATCTGTGATTATAGAGCCATAATACAGTTGAGGTTTCATCGCAGACATATCTCTCCACTTACTTTCCCAGGCAACAGCAGCATAAAAAGAATTTTACTCAACGTTTATCACAGATTTTTCTCAGAGGACATAGATCATCCATCAAAGATGTGCCTGTCAGAGCTACTGTGCCACAATGCCTTGAGACATGCTTAAATCTATGTATGTTGCCAATCATATTACTTTCAATATAGTTACACCTGTTCTGAGACATACTCATTTAACATTTTAAAGGACAAGGGACCATTGAAGAATAAACACCCTTTTTTCTTTAAATTCACTGCAGAGTTTTAAATGAAGTATGAGAATGTTCTGAAAACACTCCGTAAACCTCTCCCTAGAGCCATAAATTTAGAAACAGGTAATAATTTTAGAAACAATTATTTTGGGGATCCATTACTGAAACTGTAGGGAAGGAACATTGTTGTGCCACAATGTTTGTTGTTATCAGTAACATAACTATGCAGAGAAGAATTTTCCAGTACTTTATAACTTTTTTTTAAGACATGGAGTAACAACCATAGTTTGATTTCCTGCATGACAGGCCTAAAACTCTAACTAGAAATTTGCAGAATATTTTTTTCCTTTTATTTTTCTTACCCAATTACTCCACTGATCATAGAAACAACACTGCTTTTGACTTAGTAAGTCCGTATTTCCAGCAAAGGACATAATAGAAAAGCAGCACTGAGAAGTACATCTGTCTTGCTTCAGGTGAATACTACAGCACATAAATCAGTTAGAGACACATCCTGCTCAGATTTTAATAAACTCATTCATAATACAAGCCAGTTATCTACACTGTAGAAGGACTCTTTCTCTCTTAGAATTCATTGTAAAACTTTTCAAATTCAAGAAAGACATACTCAATTTTGCTTATTTCTTTAAAATAACATCTTTTCTACCCACATATTATCAACAAATCTGAGCCAGTGCAACAGCTTTGAGTGGCATTATAACAGTTAAAATTTGCAAAATAATCTGTGTGACTCTAGCCAGGGATTCTTTTCTCCTGATAAAGAAATTGAAAAAGACAATACAGGAAAGTAATTGCTTTGCTACAGGCCGCTACTAGATATGATCTCGTCTTCTTTTTAATTAAAGGTATAAGATGACTGAAATAAAAAAAGTTAATAGAACGGATCAGATGACAAGCTACAACCTCTTCAATTCTATCCTGGTTGTCAGAATAGCATATTGATATTGTATGTTTGCATTACTGCAATATGAGTCTTAATCTTATGTCATTAGTTCATAACATATAGTGATTTCCACTTGTGCTACATGGGTCTTCTAAGTGTTTGTGAAAGGTAATAGGGAAAAAAAAAGTATATTATAAACAACACTACTAGTAATTCCAAGGCACATCCTGGTGTTGGGTTGGTTTTAGGTATCCATAGGGTGAAACAATGGCTTTCAATCATCCTTCAGCTTAAAGGTCCCTTTTGAGTAAAAGCAGAACTACAGGAAGGAATTTAAAGTAAAAAAAAAAGAAAAAAAAAGTGATCTAAAGTTCAGATAAAATCTCAAACTATACATCTAAAATTGATTTTTTTACAATCATAAAGTGATCATCATGACCCTTCCTATATTATACATTCTGTAAAAACCTTGGTTGTCAAAAAAGAGATCCCAAAAAACCCCCAAACATATCTTACCAATGATAAAAAGAATTTCCACCGCAATGTCACTGACAGTTGTGCTTCGAGTTGTAGACAGCTCATCATGTCCAATAAAGCAAACATTGTAAGGTACAGTCACAGCAACATAAAACGTTGCCAGTAAAATAAGCCAGTCCCAGCCAGCTTTAAAAGTGCTAAAATGCAACAGTATGAATTTGGATTTTTTTGCATCTGAAACTTTGTATTCTGGAAATGCTGGTTTATCTACAAAAACGTTCTGAAAAACAGAGAAAAAATTAAATCAGACAGAATAATAATTTGATCAAACAGATGCATTTCTTCCAATGCTGCCGTTAGTTTGTGGGGTTTTTTTACAAAGCATAATGAAATATGACACACTCATATGCAGGCAAGAAGTAATGCTAATATTTTTCTGATGTAATCCTCACACTTATTTAGACAGATATTTCTGTTGATGGAATAACTTTTGTGGACGTTGGGGCTGGAAAAATATTAATAAGTAAATAGATTAAATAGAATGAGGAGAGGACTGAATCTGGCAAACTATTTCTTCCTCTGTTGGGTGAATTCTGACTGAAGAGCAACATTTTTCTGCTGGACATATAGGTTAAAGCTTTGTATACCTGAGAACATAGTACTGCAAATAGGAATAAACTTAGACAAGAGAATAGATAGTGTTAAACGGAAAACTTCCTTCCTATAAGTATTATGGAGTTGTGAAGAGGTTGTTTCAGACTAACTCTAGCATGGTACCATTGACTGAAGAGCTATGAGTACTTGAAGCACCTTTCTTGGTTTAGTTTTTCACCTGACGGAATCCACATAATGTGCCCAAGACTGCTACGAATCAAAGCTCAATTAGTAGGAATAACATTTTTGTTCTCTTTGAAATTATATTCCTGACCTAGTAAAAAATACTAACATAGATGCACTGTAATACAGCTCCAGAACTGATTATTTTCACCGTTAGATTATACCTAGTTTTGTCATGTGCCAAGTATTTGCCATCTTATCAAAAAAGGTCTTCGCCACAAAGACTTCAGTCTTAAGCAACAGTTTTATAAATTCTTAGCTTTCATCTTTTAGAGCTTTAACAAAAACACCTATCCTCCTGAAAAACATGTGGTACATGATGTGTCTTGTACTATTTACTAACAAAATTCTTGCTCACTGTCATTGTGCTCCTGCTTAATGCTGTTTCAGTAATAAAGAGCCTCTGAAAACAATACTGCCTATTCAGCAAGCTAAGATTACTTCTGATTATGAAGGTCTTCACTACGAATATAAAAAGCCAACAACTGCATGACCACAGACATAATTACATTTGCCTTGCCTGTCATAGGCTTTCTCTTTGTGTCTTTTCAAATACTGATGTCCTTGCCTTCTCTGTTCTTAGTTCTCATTCACAAATTCTAGGGGCTGAACTGTTTTTGTTAGTGTTAGTCCATTTTTAACAACAAAGAAAATGTTCCTCTTATCACTTGAATGCATAGTGCTAAAAATCTAGGCGCTAAAGGGAGTAAAACTATCTGACAACATTTTAAACCGTTTAAATGTTTTAAATGTTTTCGCCATCTACACTATGATTTTGACAGTATGGGAAAGCCACCAAAAGCTATTTAAAAGCCATGTTCTAAAAAAATATTACTGTCTTATAAAAATAACACTGGAAGATCTGGTCATATTTTGCAGATATATAACTTTTTATTTTTTTGCACTTTTTCAACTTTTAACACTTTTAAATATTTTTTACTTTCTAACCCCTTTTTAACCTTTTTAAAAAATGTTTAACATTTATGTTCAATGAAAGTGACCGTATGTCCTTTGATACCAGCTGTGTATTTTCATGATCTTAATCTACAGCAGGTTTGTTCTTTTTTTTTTTAATTTGTAACATGATAATGTCTAGAAGTACTGTTGCTTAATTTTGGTAACCAATAGAAGGAACATGCCCAGTGGCAGATCATGTTTTCAGGGTATTCATGATGTATATCCTTTGGCTACTTTTACCATTGTCCGTCTTCCATCCTCCCCCTAACAGAAAAAGAGAAAGAAGAACGAAAAAACCCCACACTTTCTTCCTGTGATTCTGTCAAAGATTTTAGCTTTTTTATGCTAATGGCATACAAACAAGAAATCATTCTGAGATTTTAAGAAAAAATGTTTCTTTTTGCTACCTTTGCTTCTCATAAGTATAGGCTCTTGCTGTTAGAACAGGCTCTAAGATATTATTCTAGCAATTTTTTATATGTATATACTAATTTAAAATGTATCCCTAGTTTTCTTCTGCATTAATTTTTCTCCTGAAACATAGTTCTGTAGAGCAGCAGAGATATTCATTTGCCTGAATATATTTCTTTACAAGTCTTTCTGCTGTTATATCTTTGGGATTGCCTATTGTTTGATTTGGTTTTTTGCAACATTCACAGGGTGTTTATGAACTTACTTGTTAGCTGTAGTTACTAGGGGAACAAAGAAGGAAGCTAAATAAAGAAACAGTACTAATTCAATTAGGAAATGAAAAGATGAATCTACTCTGCACAAAGTTGGAGACATTCACATGAAAAGTTGCCTAAATGAAGTGTGACTTTCTGGAGCTTACACAGTACAGGGATTTTCAGCTAGTTTTATACTCTAATTTTCTTCATTGTATTTTTTGAAAATAGTAATTATTGAAATGAATTAATCAGGACAGGAGGTAAACTGGAACCTAAAATTAATTTCTGAGAAATTTTAGAGTGTGGATTTCCACAGGTTAAATAAACATCTATTTACAGTACAGCTAAATGCACCATCTTGCTATATGAATGTAACAACTACTGTACTAGGCAAAACTGCACTTAAGTGAATTGTGCTTTATTCCTTTTTTTACTGCAAAATTATGACAAGGACATTTCTCAGATACCCACTGACCTCTTACAGACCCTTTAAAAAAACCAAACAACCAAAAAAAAGACAGTACAAGGAGTATATTTTTCAAAAAGAGAGGAATTACACCTACATTATTAATTTTTAATTTGTTCTTCTCTCTTCTTTGTAGATGTCCGGAGATATGATAAAGAACAGCTCTACTCCGTCTTCGTGCTGACTCAAAATGTGACCCCGCTCTTCCTCTTCCTTTCCATTTTTCTGCAGAACAGAAATGAAAGTCCATAAAACATCAGGAAATGACACTTTAACCTTTGGGACTTGAACCACTGATGTTTTAGACTTTGGTATGAATAGAATTAAATGTAAAGATTATATGCACCTTTTCTTAGTTTTGCTTAATCTTTTGCAGTTAAGAAAACAAAATCCCACTCCTGAAGGGCAAATAAAAATCACCATAAAATTTTAATTGTCAAATACCTTCATGTGACTCAGAAGCAATTATTTACAACATATGATTTCACGGATAAGAAAAATGTGCTCTTTACTGTTTCAGAAAACCAAATATTGATTACTGACCAGAGGCAAGCACGGCAAGGAGTAACTACTTAAAATGTCCTTAAGGTGTCCTTACTCTCTCTTTTATTTCAGAGAAAGGAAAAAATAAAATCTTATGGTATGCTTTTTAAAAAACAATCAATCTGACTTGTACTAGGCTTCCATTATGTCAGAATCTGCTAATTTGCAAGCTTGTAATATCCAGTTCTTACATTCACTCATTTAGGTTTCTTTTCCCACCACATGGCCACTGGCATAATCACTTGGCACATTCCATGGTGACATGAAATCTGTTAAGAGTAAAGACTGAACACTGTTTTGGAAAGGCTTTTGTTATTCAGATGTCTTTAATTGTCAGTCATGGGATCAGATATTGTTCTTACTTATACAGCAGTAAACTCAGAGTAACTCTGGTGACTCTGGTGGAATTACAGTGAACTGATGTCAGAGTAAAAGAAAGCAGACATTTTGTTACGTGTTAAGATTAAGAAAAAAGGAATTATGGGAATAAAGGAAGAAGTCTGTCAAGCAGGTTTAATAAAAGTCAATTCAATAAATACAAATTATGGAATATTGTTCTTACTTATACAGCAGTAAACTCAGAGTAACTCTGGTGACTCTGGTGGAATTACAGTGAACTGATGTCAGAGTAAAAGAAAGCAGACATTTTGTTACGTGTTAAGATTAAGAAAAAAGGAATTATGGGAATAAAGGAAGAAGTCTGTCAAGCAGGTTTAATAAAAGTCAATTCAATAAATACAAATTATGGAGGGAAAAACCCCACAACCAGAAATTAACAAAAACCAAAGTAGCTACATCTTGAAACCTGCCTAGAAATGCAAGAAAGATTTGAATTATAGAAGGTTGATATATTTTTGGCTCTACAGTACAAAACCATAGATAACAAAAATTCTAGAAGCTAAAGTTTCCAAACTTCTCAGTAAAGAGTGTTTCATGTAATTTATGCAAAAGCTCTCTCCAGTTGATATATTTTACATGTCAGTAAGGGGAGAGGGAGGGGAGAAAAAAAGAAGGAAAAAATATGGCACTGTAAAACCAAATAACTGCTTGAAAGGTGGAGGAGGCAGATGGAGAAGTCCGATACTTCCCCATCTCCAATCTAGGAGCCTGCACGTGGTTTGAAGAGCTACAACACATACAGATGCCAGCTACAATTAAGAAAGGTAAACCAAAAGAGATTATTTCAGAAAATACTCAACTAAATGAATATTTTAAAAAAAAATCATTTCTCAATTACTGAACCATTTACAACTCAAACTTCATTTTAAGTGTTCTTAAATTTTAGGTGACAACAAAGTGCTTATCTGTTTCTCTGGTCGAAAATGAGTTTCAGTCTATTGAATTGTATCTCCACGGTAGTATTAGATGGCTGCAGTAGCCTGGTTTTGTTATGCCTTTGAAAATGTCTGGCAAAATATTTACAGGTCTTTCTTCTCAACTTAAACTGCCATGTTAGATGAGGCCATTCAATTTACTGCCTCCCAAAGTAGTCAATAAAATATGCTTCAGATCTGCCATGAGGTGGGCTGAGAATATGGGCAAATACCTTTCCCAAGTTTCTGGCCAGCAATGCTTCCAGGACTCTTTAGCTAGAGGCTTCATCCTCACAATGTCTCATATCTAATACCTCTCCATGTGCTCAGTCTACAAAGCACAAGACAGTCCATCCTGGTAGGTGGTAGATAAAACAGCCTAGGTGATGTGATGTGAAACCTGCATTGATCTGTGTTGCAGAAGGCAGGCACAGTGCCTTCAGAATGACAATAATTACTATGGAGATAGTTGATGTACACACACTCAGTTAAAGTTGTATCGTTTTTTCTATATATTTATTGCCACTGATGTTTCATTTTCTGTCTACACTTTAAGTAAAACCAAGTTCGTTATAGGATTTTAAATTTATGTGTCATTGACCTGATGATGTTTTTTGTAGATAGATCCTACCTCTCCTATGTAGGTTCAGCATTCCAGCCACCAAGAATTCTGTACTCATTAACCTGCTCAGGATGCGGGGCTTCATATGGCACTTAGAATCACACTAGTTGCATATACACACACCAAGTGACTTCCACCGCATGCTGATTTCACTATTTGTGAAGGATTAATGCTACTTCTTTGTTAATATTGGAGGTCACTCAACTCCTAGAGACAGCAAAGCACAGATGAAAAAGGAAAGTGTGACATTCAATACAAGGTAATAGTATGTTTATTTTAAACATAAATGGTAAAGATTTTATTATTGTAGTTATTAGCAGTGAAAAAAAATACCAGTTGCCTGTGTAGCACCACAACAATCACACATGAAAACCTCAGATTTTTCTAGGATAAGAAACTAACAGCATCTTTTAACATTAGCCTCATAACACCCTAAGATTTCTTATGGTCTTGTAAGAGAGGCTGCAGTAAAAAAACCAGCAAGACACAAACATTAGGAAAACCTTTTTCACTGTCAGGGTGACAGAGCACTGGCACAGGCTGCCCGGGGAGGTTGTGGAGTCTCCTTCTCTGGAGACATTCAAAACCCGCCTGGACATGTTCCTGTGTGACCTACTGTGGGTGATTCTGCTCTGGCAGGGGGGCTGGACTAAATGATCTTTCGAGGTCCCTTCCGACCCCAACATTTTGTGATTCTGTGAAACACCTTGGTAACTGTCAACTTTTCTGCCTGTGTTTTTACAAGAACATGAGATGCCAATCTTCCACTTAGAGTTAATATAAAGTGGAGGCATAACTCTGTTTCTTATCCCTTTGGAATTAAAAAAAATAAATTAAAGAAAATAAATAATAGATCTACTCCTCAGGTATAAAACAGGAAAATAAAACCCAGCAACTTCTCATAAGCTTTACTATGTATATGCTGTCCTACCAATGCAAAATAGCTGTAAACTCAGCTTTACTGACCAAATTAAAACCAAATCTATGTCTGCTCTCCTTCAAAGCACATCAGAGTAGTCAGGGCATAGCACTCGATATAATCCAGAATACTTCATGGTTCATAGTGTACTCATTCACGGAATAAGTTATGAGACATTTAAATCCTTTAAAAGTAAAATAAAGTGTTTAATCATGAAATGGGAGATAAGACTTACAGTCTTCTTTCAGTCATGAAGTTCAGGTGATAACAAATAGTATAGGTATAGGACCTTCCTTGGAAAGTAAATCTACTCACATACAAGCAGAACCACCATAATCTTCTTGTATAGTGGACTTAAGCTATACTGAGCTGCTCTAATGTGACCCAGAAGCATCACGCTCACTCTATAGCAGATACCAAAATAGTCTAACCTGCTCTAACCAGGAAGGTTGTACATTATTGACAAAAAGTGTCTCAATCCTGGTATTTTCCCAATTTTTCCTACTATTAATTCATATTCCTTGGAAAGAACTGCCTTCATTTTTCCTCAGGTTTTGCATTATCACAACATAATATGCATGAACTAAAACCACTACCTAGATTTTACTCTGGTGTGATTAAATGCCCAACAGGCTCTTGTATGGAATTATCTGCCAGTCTGATCACCACAGAAAGATTTTTGTATAAGGGTACATGGATGTAGAAGAGAAAATTAATATCTAACATCTCGTTCATATTACACAGGAAAATCCAAGAGGTGTCTCTGTTTTTACCTAAGCAATCATAAAGTTAGAGAAATAATAAAAGCAATCATCATCTCTCCAATTTAACCCAGAACACAATATATTGGCAATACGTGAATGAGGTAGAGAGTGATGAGATAAAGCAGTCTAGGGGATTAGTTCTGGAAACACATGCACACCTAAGCAAGAAGTGCTCACTTCACAGAAGTTCTATCAAAAAAACCCAATTTGGCAGAGTTAGCCTAAAGACTGTGAGACTACAGACTTCAACCTCTTAGTAATATTTCTTTTTTCTCTCCTTTGATTACAGCAGCCATTGAAAAGATGAATGCATTACTAGAGACAAGACCATAACTGCTCGCTGTCTTTTTACAGCTTCACAACCACATTAGCTCTATGCTCAAGGTCTATTCCAGCTCCAACTACCTGATTACCACTGCTGTCCTGTTTCCTTCCCAAGTGGGACTGCTAGGCTTAGGGTAAAATTGATTCAGACACATTAACTATCCTCTTCAAACAATATAAATATGACCACCCCAAGTCATGACATGCAGCAAATCTGACTGTCAACAGGGGCAAAACCAGGAAAGATAGTACAGATACAACTATCTTGAAGAAAAACACCGCGCTACAATCTGATGGCTTCAGATTTACATGGATAATAAACTCTACAGTACCTTCTATGGGGAAAAATAAATTTTTTTAGAGTTAATTAATAGTGTAGTGTACAATTTTATGAATAGGTTTGCATAAAATAATAAGATGACTTCTTAACTCTTTTGAGGTCCAGGAGCAAGTATGAGGAATAAACAGAGATAATTTTTGTTCTACTAACATTTTACTCAGAGGACTGGATGAGTTGACAGAGTAGCTAAAGACACTTTAATTTATTCCATTGTTTACAAAGCTGAAGTCAGTTACAAGATCACACATCAGTTAATCGTAGCTCCCACATAAGAAAATTTACCGTAGAAACAATATCCTTCTGAATGTTTGAACTAAATTTCCTTTTGAACAACAAAACCAAGGTAGAACAGGACAAATGAACTTCCTACATCATTAAGAAATACCTATATGTGAACATA